ACATTTACTTTATGATTTTGAAGAAGGCATCCTAATCGTGTACTTCACTTTTCTTTTTTGTAACTTCTAAGAAAGGGAAACGGTATATTTCATGGAAGGTGTCGAACATTTACAGTTCAAAATAGTAACTTAACGAGCACTTTCTACAGACTTAAAATCCATTGATGAGTAAGATTGCGATGTTGTTCAAGTACGTACAACATATTTTGTGAATGCTAAATTACAAAATAGATCGTATACATCTGCAAACATATTTTTAACAGTGGATCACCACGTGCAAATAGGGGGCCACAACTCCGACAGTCTGGTGTACCCACCCTAGCAATCTAGGATATTTTTTGGCAATCTCAAGGCAATCGGACCCAATAGCCATGCTTTTCGCCTACATTCAGTGTGCAAATAGTCCATTGGTTGGGCGTTTCATGCCTTAAATGCAAAATATTCGTCTCGCAATATGGTAATCTTGGCAATCTAGGGTACTCTCTACAAGTGTGTTGCGGCCCCCTTGACCTACAACTGCATTTTAACATTCTACTTTTTTCCCTCACAGTCTACACCTTTTTGCGTGATGTCACTCCTATGGCTTGCCGTCGCAGGCATCGCAACCTCCTTTCTCATCGAAGGTTCACCTGTCATCTCCAAAGGAGGTGCGTAAAAAGATACAGTCATAGTTTTTGTTCTGAGTTTAATAAGTCGTCTGGACTGTGTGGACTATTTTATGACCAAATCCACTGATAAACTTACCACACATGAATTTTGGACCCTGAAAGTTGTGGTTCGGGTCCGACCTCAGTGGGCCTCACCGTTCGCGAACCGTTTGCTTGGGTCGACAAGCTGATGACTACGCAGTGCTACCAGACATGCTGATTTAACAGAGTTCACAATACGTTCCTCCCTACGTAAAAGTGGCTATCTTTTAGGGCGTGGCAGACAAAAGGCTATCTTTTTCAGCTGTGCAGACAAACGGCTAACCATGAGAGAAGGGCTTAATGGAGAGGCAACGAGCAGCCCCCGGGGCT